GAGCCCGACAGGACACCGTAGAGACAGAGGCCAAGCCCCAGCTCCCTCCCTCTCCTGGTCCAGCCCATTGGATTCTGTGCAGGGACTTTCACCCCGGCACCGAGCCCCCTCTGCAGCTCGCCCCGCAATTTTGGCTAATGTGAGATCGGTCCTCAAGCAACCAAAATGGTTTCTCTGCTACACTTTTAAGGGAATACTGCAGTTTTAAACCACAAATTAAATTTTTAATGAAACTTCATAACTGTTGTACCCAAATGTAATGTAATATTGATAGGAACTGTGCATCCAGCTAGCATGAGATTGCCCTAGAAAGCTTTTTAGGATGTTATGCAATATATAGCTAAATTAATTATTTGTAATGAAAGGATCTGTGTCCCTATAGCATCACCGAGACCTACTAGTACAAAGAACACACTCCTCACTCTCACTGGATGTAAATGTCTGGCAATTTAGAAGGAAAGCGACTTTTGAGATGGGAACAATGAAAGAAAGGGAAAGAGAAAAGGGGAGAGACTGAATGTGTGTGTGTGAGAGAGAGAGAGGGGGAGAGGAACAGAGAGGGAGAGATCTGCAAAGAAAGACTGCAGCAAAATGCAGCAAATTTCCAAACTCCAGTCCAAAGTGTTTGCCTGTTACAGAAGGGAATTCTCCACCGTGCACACACAGTGTCTGGACGAGCTGCACACCAGGCTCGAGCTGTTCTAATGGCAGCTGTGGATTTTAGACGGCGTAAAAAAAATATAATATTTTGCATATACACTACTCTGCAAACTTAACCACGGAGCAGCTCAGAGAAATGTGCTGGTGCTGGGCATCTGGTCGGGCTGCCCAAGGCACAGGGCTCTGGAAAGGGTCCTGCTCCCTCCTGGCGTGGGCTCTGTGGGGACAGGGGTGCCGTGGTGTGACCAGGGAGCCTGTCCTTGCTGTAGCCCCCTCAGAACAAGCCCTTGTATCGAAACCACCCCAACAAAGCAGCCTGACAGCCGCTGCCACGTCCTGCTGGGGCCGGGGGGGAGCAGGCAGGGGCTTGGGGGGGCACGATCCCTGCGGGACCCACAGGGACACTGGGGGCACAGCCAGGGGCTCAGCCGCATTCCAGCCAGAGGCACAAACAAAAGGAGCTGGGTTCCTCGCTCGGTGAAGTCTCCCCATTACTATTTCCCATCGCAAAGCTGCCTCCATCCCATAATGGATCATATTGTTCCCATTCCGCAGAGGAGACTTAAATGCGGAATCAGCACTACCCCACAGGAGATGTTTTATGTACGGCAGGCTGCACAAACAGCAGAGAACGCTTCCACTCCCTGTTCCCTGGGGCTCCGGCTCCTGGGATTAAAGAGAATTGTCCACTTAAAAAAAAAAGAAATAAAAATGCCCTATATGCATTTGTAATTCTGCTGTTCTCACACAAAGGTGAGCGTTGGGCAGATGGAGTATTTCCACGCCTCACCTCTGCGCTGGGCTGTGCAGAGGGCACCGGGGCTTCTGCTCCCCGGGGGGAGCACCCGGGACTGTCCGAAACGATACTCGTCCATCACAAATACAAATGTGCCTGCTGGCTCCCGTTCAGGACTAAATCATCTCCAAGGGTCCTTGATCGCTGCGCTCAGCTCTTTCCAGCTAGAGAGTGATAAATCAGCGAGCTACAGAGAGCGCTTCGGAAAGAGGCGAGAGAAGAGTTAAAAATAATAGGGGCTCCATTATTCCATTACACCCCTACAGCTCCTAAATCTGCAAAAGCAATAACGGATCCTACTGCATGATTCAGTGATTCTGGGAAAGCTGAAATCTTGATCGTATTTTCTAGCTCTTTCTTTGCATTAGGAGACACGGGGGTTATTTTGCTTATCTATCGTGGCGCAGCTTTGTTGTTTTTTTGCTATCTAGGTATTTACACGGTCGCCATCACCATAGAGTCGGAGCGTTTATTTCATTGCGCCTGTCACCTTGGTCTCCTCTCAGCACAACGTGCGAGGGATGACAAAAGACTCCGAGTTAAATCGGTTCAGTGACACGAGGAGCTTTGTCAATACCACGCAGATGTTAACAGAAGCGGGTACCAATCCAGCTGCCTCTCCGACCAGTTCCACACTGGTGTAATCATGTTGCCTGCAGTAACATTATTTGCGGTTTGCCTTCCCTGCCTGTGGCAGAAGAATTAGACCTGCAGTCTTCTCAGCCTTTCCCACAGCGTCCCTTTTCTCAACAAAACCCCAAACAAACAAACAAAAAACCAAACCAAAACCGATCCCGAAACCAAACCAGCACAGAAGGGAGACTGGTCTGCCCAGTAAAACGCATCCTGGCTCTCCCCCTCAACTCCCCTCTGCTCCGTCCCCGTTCCATCCAAACGCTACACAGCACAGGGAGGAAAAGTAACCCAGGCAATAAAGCCAGAAGTGAAGAACCTAGTGGAAACGCAGATTTTCCCCCAGGATTTCCCCAAGCAAAGCGCAGAGCACACAGGTGAGCTCCTCAACGGCGCCAGGGCACCGACCTGCTGCGCGGGGGCAGGATCAGCAGGAAAAACCAGAAACCTCAGGAAGTTGATAAATAACAACTCTCTGCAGCCTCTACAGAGCACACAGGTGAGCTCCTCGCTGGCTCCAGGGGCACCGAACTGCTGCGCGGGGGCAGGATCAGCAGGAAAAACCAGAAACCTCAGGAAGTTGATAAATAACAACTCTCTGCAGCCTCTGTAAGCACCAGGACGGGTTGGATGGAGGGACAGGGACAAAAGCACCACAGGATCCCAGCGAAGGTGCTGCAGGAGCGCTGGGTGCTCTGGCACATCTCCCCAATTCTTTGGCTGCTTTTGTCCCAGCGCTGCCCTGGGCTGGGCATCAACGGTCGGACCCAGCGACAGCAGAGAGCTGGGGGTTTTGCCACCCTCCTTCTGCTCTGCCTGATGACGACCCCGAGCCTCTGGGTTTGGCCGTGAAACACCGTTTTTACTGTAACCCGCAGAGCACGGCTGGATGAGGAAAGGGGCCTCCCAAAGGCAGCCGAGATGCCTTTGAGGAGGAAACGCTCTACGCCAAGGTAGTGTGTCATAAAACTCTTGGGGCGAGATAAACACCTGCAGCAGAAAAGGCATCAAACTGAGTCACACACTCACGGGTCCTGCTGTGAGCAGCTCGGCGCGCTCCAGCTCCCGGCATCAGAGCAGGGGGGATAAAAAAAGGAGGGGGGGGTAAAAATCATCTTTTGCGGCCCCACGCGCTCGCAAAGCCCTTGCATTTTACTGACCCACTTCGCTAATCAAAATTAATTGCTTCGTATTTCACAGGATAACTTGGCATTATGTAAATGCTCCAGCCATATGGGGCTGCTGCAGTGCAGGTTGGGTAGAGCAGGCGCCGAACTGAGCTGAGAGAGAACCAAATTCACCTCCGGTAGGAACCAGAAGCACATTGAGCCAGGCAGGCTGGAAACTAAACCTCCCGGCAGCGGAGGTATTCCCCGGCACGATATGATACCGTGGCAAAAAAATGAAAAAAAAAAAAAAAAAAAAACCCAACAGGTAGGAGAGTCTTGGGGAGCTGGGGTTTCGGGGGCCGGGATGGTCCTGGTCCTGCTCTTGGCCAAGAGAAAAGCTGGGAGGAACAACGGCGGAGAGGGAGAAGCCGCACACTCACTTCTCCGGGACTGAAGAGGCATCAGCCTTGACTGAAGTGCCAAGAAGATGAGAAAAGCAGCAATTCCGTTGGCCACGAAGTATTTCCACCAAGGACAGACCCAGATATTACCTGGGGATGGTGGTTTGGGGTTTTTTTCCCCCATAAAGAAGGAAGAAAACGAGGAGCCGTCGCTCCCCCGGTGCCCGCACCAGAGCCCTGCGCCACCGCACCTTATCCCCGGGGATGCGCCGCGATTGCGGGGCCCCCTCCAGCAGAGCCCCCGGCATCTCCCTGCCCCACAGCCCGCCCCACGGAGCGCCCCGGGCTGCCGTCTGCTCCCCCCGCCGTGGGGCTGCCCCTGCTCGGGGGCGGG